CAAATGTCGCACATGCGTAGCGCGACGACCATCGCGCTTTAAAGTCAGGGGAAATGTAACTAACCTTCACAACTAAACGATCCGTTGGGGGGGGGGGAATATTAAGCCAACCGCTAAAAAAAAATCGGTCAAATTCGTCGTTTTTTGTGTAGAAATATCCCTTGCATACGGACACCCAATTTCACGAAGAACATATAACACTTTTCCGGGGTATTTGTAGGTATATGAAAATAAAATTTTCTCTTCATTTAGTTTCAAGCCGTATTCAAGATGGCGGCCCCATATATTAAATACCGGTAAATTAATCGCATTTATTTTATTATCACGTGTACTCCAGCTGACTGTGTATCGGACAGGGCATGACTGTATCGCTTGAATGCCAGATAAATCAGGTCAGCAAATAATACCAGAAGTCACCTTAAAGGGCGGTGATCGTCACGCCGCGTCGTGTTCGATATCAATCTCCTTCAATTTTGTAGTCAATCACCTCACTACGCACGGCCATTTTCCCTTAGCTTAGCTGAAAACGTACTACAAAACGCGGGGAAAAACGTATGTATCATCTGAACTATTTATTAATGTCAGACTTCGATAAAAACATAAATATAAACCATTTAATCGCGGACTATGTTTTACAAGGTAATGTTATAGTAGTGAAATGGCGCTCGTGATACACTAAAACTGGGAAGAAAAAAACGTTACGCTAACCACGGTTCTAGTAAGGCCAGACTTTTTTTATTCCTTGTTTCGCGAGTTTTTATAAGGCAATTTTTTTGAGGAGGCCGGAAAAAAAATTAATTCTATTTTTCCCATTAGATTTGTGTGATTCTCAAAGAATTGTAAGTGAGATCATTGATCGGAGAGAAGAAATGAAATAAAATTGTATTCCATGTATAACCTTGTTTCTCATCAGCGCGAGACTTCGGTACTTTGACCATGATACTCCCACGAAAATGCAACTTGGATTTGTTATGCGGCGGGCAGTAAAAAAATAAAGATAAAAATAATAAAAATAAGTCGGCGGGCGCGAGAAATTACGCTGAAATAAAATTATATTTTTATTTCATTTTCGGCTCCTGTTCATTCGGCGGGTTCGCGAAACAAGGGATAATAAAAGTCTGGCCTAACCGTTTGTTAACGTATATAGTTGGGAAAGAAACATTAAAGACTAATTTCACTGAAAGGGGTTTCCTAACATTTCCGTTCATCTTTTATTCTGGTGAACTTGAATATTTCAATACTATTTTTGACTTGAACGGATTCCATATTCGGATTTCGATTTTTCAAGGTTTGGCATTTCGCCCAGGGCCCTCAGTAAGTTATCACCTCAGTTGAACCGTAATGATCCCTGAGGTCCCCTTGACAAAGCTGGATTTAGATGGCGCCCTCTTGGGGCCAGACACCACCCCGCAGCCATCTTTTTTAAACATGAAAAAAGATCGATAGATACGGCGATTGTCGCTTTGTGGCGGATGGTCACAGCGTGTCGTTGTTTACAAGCAAACGCCTACCCATGAGCCTTTGCGTTTTTAGCGTGCGTGTTTATCGTCGCTTGACACTCATTTCCCGCGCGTGCCAGTGCATAGATGACGTACTTTAAATTTAGCGCAATTTAAATTTAAAGTCTGGCGAAAAACAATTTTTAGAGGTGGAAAAATTACTGTTAATCTTTGGGGAATGTAATAATTAACCGGGAACAGCCGTCAACAGTGCGTCAAATAAACTCAGCATTCTGGATGGGAGATTCACGAGGCGAAGGCGAGTGCATCGTATACTTCGCGTACATATGACAAAATTTCATAATCGTTCGCAATTATTTTTAAAACATACTTCCCGCCTATACTCACAGAAAGTCTCTGGCCAATCACCAGTCCCTGTTGAGGGACTGTGGGCCAATCAAACAGTGTCACATACGATCACGTGTTACGTTGACAATTCATAATACACATGACGACGTTCTCATGCCTGTCACTGACTCGGAACTCTATGGACCCATCGACAATTTAGAACGCGTATTCGGGGGAGGTCGGATACACAAACGCACAGCGATTGGACACAGGATATCATAGCTGTTCCTTTTCACATTTCATAAAACTCCACCCTGCAAAGTTTGACAAGTTGCGATTAAGATGATTTATAAGTATTTTTATAATCAATGGATGTTGTACACGTGTCCATACATACAATGAAATCAACATCGCGGCATACATACCATCACAACCAAGCTACCAATCTAGGCGTATGTGCCTGTGTGTGTGGAGCGTACTATAGCCATGAACCACAGGCTTTGCTTACAAGCAAACGTGTTCCTATTCACGCTATGCATGCCGTCCGTGTTGCAGTCTGTCCACTCTGCATCAGATCGTATCGGAACAACAGGTAATTTCCATCTTTCGTCTGCAAGAGGCAAATTGGGAGACACGTTGTACCGCATATATTAACGGGGGTGGTTGTCGGGCATACAACGCGAGCAAAATATATCGCCTGTTTGGCTTATTATAATAAAACAACGAAACAAATTAATACACATAACGATGATTAAACTGTAATCAGGAAAAACGTTTTTATACGAACAATATTTACAACTGTTGAACGATTATTGACCAGTATATCCACTTTTCAGTCGTATATATGCATTTGCCAAAAAATTTTGTGATTTTATTCAGTAAATTGTCCGTTTTGCTAATTACAGATAACAACTTGACCTGTATATAAACCTTTCAGTCGTGTATATAACGACATAAAACATTTTTTTTTTTCAAAAATAAAGGGCTTCAATTATACTTCAATTACTTAAAATGTAAACAAATGCTGACACTATAGTTTGATACCAACGTCCGGTTTATATGTTGTGGTCAAAGCGCGGGGGTCGTCACCTGCGCACGTGCTGGAGACCCAAGCAACGATAACAACACACACTAAAAACGCAAAAGCTCATGCCAGTGGGTAGATGCTTGTTTGTAAACAATGACACGCTATGATGGCCGCATGCTCAGGTGAAGACTCCTCCATTTAACCGACTGAAGAGTGAATATACTGGTCAAGTTTCTGCTAACAGTTGTAAATACTGTGCTCAAAATAACTTTTTTCCTGATTACAATTTAATTGTCATGTGTATCATTTTTTTTTTCGTTTCTTCGATTCCAATAAGTCTATTTGTTTGTTTACATGAAATTCGAACACGCGCTGCGGAACGACAATTTCGTGTAAACAAATAATATGTTTACGTTGCATGGACTCTCTATCAAAAACAACTATGGCGCTGTAAAACTTGTGGATGTACTTTTTTCTTTGCCACATTGTCATATTTTGCGTCGAACGCCAACATTTTGGGTGCAACATTTTGCCTATTTTATGCTATTTTATTTTTAATTTGGACCAAGTGGTAATAATTTTGATCAAATTTTTTGGCACAAAAATCAAAAACAAAATTTGTCAGGAATCCGGACAGTGAGATCTCAACCAACCATATGCACGACAACCTGGATCATACACACGTTTGCTTTTGTGTACATTTCGATAAACCCCGGTTCTTCTAAAATTTATGTTCATAATACTTCCTTTTAAGTCTATATTGGACATTGGTACAGCACAATGAAATTAGTTCAACTACTGTTTTTTATTTATATGTAGGATTATTACTTTTTCGGTAATCGCAAACATGTTGCTGTTTGTCGCATTTTTTCGGTTTCAGTGGCCGTGTGATATTTGTTTGCGTCATAGAATCGGCCATATTGTTCGAGTTCGTTATAAAATGTATTCAGTATGATTCCAAATACGTACATACACAGTATCGCCACTACTTTGCAAAAACATGCTGCACGGTGAAACCCCGAAAACGTTGTCGTCGCTTTGTGCGAGATGCTGAAATAAACGAGTTACGGACATCGAGTTACGAACATTGAGTTACAAAAACATCGAGTGACAAAAATGAATACGCCCGTATTTCGGGGACCACGCCCACTTTTGCGAAAGCACGTACAAATTGTAACTCTATGTTAAATTACCAGTTTACAGAACTATAAATTTAGTAACTCAAACTTGAATTAACATTTACTGAACTTCGAGTTAAGGGCAAATCCATATCTTGTTCGTAACTCAAAGTTCGGTTAACTGTTAATTCAAGATTAAGTTACTGACGTAAAACAGCAATAACAATTCATGTTGCACATAACTCGAAGTTCGGTTAACTGTTAAATATGGTTTCGAAAGTATGGGCGTGATTATTTTGTGTAACTCGATGTTCGTGACTCGAACAATTCAATATCTTCTTTGTGGATTGTTTAAATATACGAGCTGGTGAGCTTCGAATCCGTGACCTGTCACGAACCAAGTGCGAACGAGCCTGTGAGTGGCTGACGTACTCGGCCAGGTTATGACTTGCATCAGAAACACGCTCAATTGTATATCGTAGCCATGACTGGATCTCGCCTAATGTGTAACTTGTTTACAGAAGCAGGTAGTGCGAAGAAACTGCCATCGATAGTGCGTCCGACGAACTCGACATTCTGGATGGGAATGAGGGGTAAGTCAAGGAGGCGGAGTCGAGTAAACATTCAATAAACGTGTGCCCTGATTATATAGGTGACCCGTTTGGTTTAACATCTGAAATGTCTTTATCGTCTAGAGTTTTAAACAAATTTGAATGTCAGTGATGTTTTTTACTTCTCTTCGTGGTCATGGTAACTGAATTATAAGTGTGAAATAAATATACATTTCTTATATGCGATGGCCACGATTGGTCACGAAATGTTACCTTTAAAAGACAGAAAGAAATTGCAATGAAATTGTCGCTTGACGTTAACGTTATATGACGTCACTCACGTTTTGCCACCAGAGGGCGCTACTTATGAAATGGTATTTTCTTCGTAGATTGTCAAGATCTGTACGACGCAGGGATACGTGAAGACGGTGTTTACATGGTGACAACGAGAGACATCGAAAGAAAAATAGTCGTTTACTGTGAGTTCGACCACCTGAAAGGGCAAGGATGGACTGTAATCCAGCGACGAACAGACAAAAAGGTTGACTTCAACAGAAATTGGATGGCCTACAAAGACGGTTTCGGTGATATAATGAGCGGGTTCTGGGCCGGAAATGAAAACATCTTCGCCCTCACTAACTTCAACGGCAGGCGATACGAGCTGATGATCGAAATAGACGATGGGCAGCTCAATATGCTGTATGCTTTCTATGACTATTTCCGGCTCTCGCACGCGAAATACAATTACCGGTTGCGGCTGGGCAAATACGTTACTGGGTCCGCTATAGACTCCATGAGCTATCACAAAGGGCACTACTTCTCGACCTTTGACCGGGACAATGACCGCTCGCCCCACAACTGCGCGGAGCGATACCAGGGTGGTTGGTGGTTCAACGCCTGCCTGACGTCCAACTTGAATGGGGAATACTACCCGGAAAAAACATCAGCCCAAAGTCGTCGGGGTATATACTGGGACTCCGTTGAAAAAGAGCATCATTACTCAAAGTTTTATTCAGTAATGAAAATACATCCTGTGAGATTTTCCAAAACTAAACATAATGACAGTAAAACGACATAAAGGACATACCCGCCCTCTATTTCCCGAAGAACCTTGCGATCAGCATAATTTGCATAATCGGATAAAATTATACGGCCCTTGAGAGCGTGACTACACTACATAGTTGTCATTTTCGTATTTCTGAATATTTTTGACGAGTCGTCCATTGTGAATATTTTTAAATGTGTTCTCTCGAGAAGAGAAATTATAATCTGAAATTAAAGGGGAGTCGTCACCTGCGAATGTGGCAAACGGCCATCGTGTCGTTGTTTACAAACAAGCTTCTACCCATGAGCCTTTGCGTTATTGCGTGCGTTCGTCGCTCAGTCCCACACGTGAGCAGATGGCTTTAAATAGATGTAATAACTGAGGGCGCACTTGTTCACTTTTCGCGCGTGTAGGACATCTAGTAAATATCCTTTTTGATATAAGACCCATAGCGACGCGCAACGTACGCGTGTAAAATGCATTGTTTACTTTGCAACGACACGCTATAGTCGTCTACGGCATGCGCGCGTGACGACTCCCCCGATTAAAGCAACAACTCAAAGAGTCGTTTCCTTAAAAATAAATGGTGTCAAATCGATAGCGTGTCGTTGTTTTGAAACAAGCGTCTACCCGTTTGCGTATTTAGCGTGTGTTGTCATCGTCACTTAGAACTCAATTTTTCATATTTCACATGTCATTATTTATTTGTGGCAATTACTTGAAAGGGAAGCAAGGCATGACCAATTCAACATCATAGGTTGTATGCCGTCGGCGGCACAGGGGGGGAAGCGGGGGCGGTGGCCCCCTCAAAAATCAAGCTGAAACCCTTTGTGTCAGCAAAATTTGGCCCTCAAAATGCAGGAAATTGCGTTTCAGAGGGTGAATATTTCAAAATCTTTAAGGGGGAGCATGCCCCCGGACCCCCAAGTAAGAACGCGACTTCGGCGCGAGCTTGGTGAGCATATCTTGCACTTCATGCAACATTTTGTGCCGCCGTCTCTGCCGATGATAGTCAGGTAGTGTCTAGCCTTACACCATATAGCACTGTGAAACAGGATTCATCAGGCTTCCGTTCAAGCATACTGTTTGTGATGGTTGATAGAAGAGATGGGAATTGACAAGATGAGGGAATATAAGCATGTAGTTTTGCATCAAAATGGAGTGAAAATTAAATAAAACTGGTTCAAAACAAGTCCACTAGAGAACCTGTTGGTTTTATCAATTTTAACTCTGTCAGTAATATGCTTTTAAATTATGAATTATGAAACCATTTGTTCAAACGCTGCAAAACCCTTTACCTCACGTGACATCCTCTGTTTAAGTACATGCTGTGTTTGATGGTACGTTGTGTATGTACGAATGTCAAATTTGCCTTTGCACACTTTCCAACGTCAGACATTACAGCAAATTTTATGTTTCCTATACAGAGTTAATTTAAAGGGCACTGGTCGTCGCACAGCGCGTGCATTTTACATGCGTTGTATACTAGTACGTCGCTATGAGTTCCATATCGAACCGGGCGCGGCGCGACGACCACCGCTCTTTAACTGTGTAGAGCTGCTGGCGACTACAAGAAATTAAAGAGCTAACTCACACAAGAAAAGTAGAAAAATAGAAAAAAAAACAGAAAAATGGTTTGGTTCGAATGTAAATCTGTGCGTCAAATGAGGTGCATTTGTAAAATCTTTTTACACCCACCTAAAGGAATTAAGATTTTTATCCGACATCGATCTTTTGACGTCGTCCTTTATCTTATCGAGATGGTTCTACGTACTCTTGTTTTCACATGGGCTCGTCAATTTTACGGGCAACCTAAATTGTTATTGTTGTTTAACGTCCATAGTTACTCGAATTGTAACTCGATGTACAGTTACCTGTTAACAGAACTTCGAGTTACGGGCAACTTATTTTTTTTTTTGGTTTCAAATTTAGACGTTAAACAAAAGCAAAAATGTACATTGCCCGTAACTCATAGCTCTGTTAACTGGTAATTGAACATCGAGTTACAATTCGGGCGTGGTTTTGCAAAAGTGGGCGTAGTTTCTAAAATATGGATGTGGTAAATTTTGTTTTTAACTCGATGTCCGTAATTCGAACAATTTAGCAATCTCATGTCGCCGCACGTGTTTGCGGAGGCGGGTGTATCTTTAATTAAAATTAAACTACGCATGCACGCAACTCCCAAATCTTTCAGAATTTTTGACGAACGTACTTTTGTCCTATACTCACAGAAACTCGCCGGCTTCCTGTGACCATTCAAACAATGTCACACGCGATCACGTGTTACGCTGAAAACTAATACCACATATGGCGATGTTCCCATGGCACGAGACCAACCTTCTAGTCTCTGCTGATTCCAAGGTCAACAGTCTGTAATAAGTGCTTAAAATACTAAATCGGTCGGTGGGAGGACGGATACACGAATGCACAGCGATTGGACACGACGGTATATCATGGCTGTTCCTTTTCACATTTCAAATAAAAAAAAGTTTGACAAGTTGCGATAAAGATGATTTGTGGGTATTTTTTCATTCATGAATTCGGTACACGTGTTCATTTATGCATTTAAATCAACACCAACGTACACATCATTACAACCAAACTAGGCGCGTGCGTCTACGTATGTGTGTGTGTGCTGCGTACTACAGACATGGACCTCAGGTTACAAGCAACTGTGTTCTTATGCATGATTTCCATATGGAAACCTATTTATTGTGGATCGAATCGGATCGGAAAAACGAGTAAGTCGAAATTCTCCTTTTGTATGTATATGTAATTCACGTGTTGTGCTTTGCCACATAAAGTCTCGTGCAAGCGATGCTTCGGGCAATGCATGTATAGTTGCAGCGATGGTCGTCGTACAGCGCGCGTTGAACAATCGTGTAAAAAAACATTATCTCTGCGCTGCATGGGTCTCATATCGTATACAACTGTGGCGCTGTTGTACTTATGACGATGCGTCCTTATTTGTTTCTCCCTGCCATAATGTCTGTACGACGGACGGCCGCTTTTTTAAGCATCATAATTTTCCAGCCAAAATGTTGATGTAACATTTTCCTTTTTTAAAGTAGTTTCAAAAAAATGTGTGGACCTTGGTTATAATTTTTTTTCTTCTTGTTGTTTTTGTTTCGGATATTGATAGTAACTTTGCGAATTATTGTGGGAGAAAATTTGTGAATATTAACAATGCAGGGGCATGCAGTGACGTCACAACCAATGGGGACTACGCACGTGTGCAGTCGCGTACATTTCATCACACACACACGAGCCGCACTCCCTCCCGAGACGTTGAAATAAATAGTGCGGTGTGTTATGTTGTTTTTTCTGTCCCGTTTTATTTATTTTTTCAATTATGGTGACAAAAACAAAAAGAAGGTTGTGAGCGCCTCCTTCCATTGAACTGACGTTTTGGCTGACCACAAAAACAATATTTATCATTATAGTGAGTATAAATCATACCGTGACGTCATTTATTTACATATCTGCCAATCAGCTTACGTATACGTCATAAAATCGGCCATGTTGTCCGAGTACTAGTACGTCAATTTATTCAGCCTTATTCCAAATATGGAACTGTGGCACCACTGGCTCCAAATATGGAGCTATAAATGTAGCTATAAATGAAATTCTTGGTGTGTACCTTTTTTTACAGAAGCGGGTGCCGTGAAGAAGCTACCATCGATAGTGCGTCAAACGAACTCGACGTTCTGGATGGGAATGAGAGGTGCATATTTTAATGGAACAGTCATTGATTTTAAAATATGTTGTTGACCTATTTATTTTTATACAACACTATGTAACACAATATAGTTTTGGTTATTTTTGACGCTTACTCATTCATCTGTTTAAATCTCGCGAGATTTTGCGTGATGATACTAGTTGACTAGAGGGCGCTACTTATGGAATGGTGTTTTCTTCGTAGA